ATCTGAAATTTTCCCAAGTGAATTTTAATCGGGCAAAACCCGCTTGCATCTCACATTAAGTGCGCGAGTCTTCACCTCGATATTTACGGAAGCGGTCCCCAAAGCCGAGAGCTGACCAGCACATGCTTTCATTCGTAAGGCCTGAGGGATCGTCCTGTTCCAACCATCAATAAAAATTAAGAAAGCTCCAAATTGCGGTCACGCCTTGAAGGGGAGAGTCAATCCCCCAAAATGTATATCTGACATGTAATAAAAGTTCTTCATATGGTCTTAAAAATATACTGTACATTCATTGTCAGTATATGGGAAATTTCGTGATTCACCACACAAACACATATGACGAGACCCAGCTTACCTGTTCAAAAGCAAACCGCAAATTGACGGTCCTAAACAGTGCAGTAGTGTACTTACGTTTTCAACCCACTTTCAGTTCTCAGCTATTGAATGAATCCACCCCCTCTCCTGCCGACCAAAAAACTGAACACCATGAGTCTGCAGCCACTCTTGTGATAGACCTACCTCCGTAAGCATACAAGATTTGAGAATAACGAAGCTATGATGGCACCCCTATCATTGTCGAGAAAAGCGTCGGTATTAAAATGATTATAAAGGTGGGCTATCCCTAATTGTGTTATATACTCACACGTTTCAACTTGCCGCTATATACAAACTTACGGTACGCAAGCTGCGCCCTCGAAAGGGAAGTCAATTAGCCTCTCGAGGGTTCAGCAAGAAAGAAAGGGATTCTAATTGATATAAAGCCTTTAGGAGTTGACATATATGCGAAGTTCTCTCTTGACCCAAAAACGGACAGTTCTCAGAATCAGAATTGAAACTTTTAGTTGTCGCGCTAAGGAAATATTTGAGTCATTACCCACAGACCTTTGATAGGAGCCTTCCGCCATTAACCGCAGAGTCGCTGCAAGCTGGAGCACAGCTGGGATGACAGCCAACATAACTTGCCTTCAATGATATCCAGCAGTATGACAAAGGCTTCTTTGTTAAGGCGATGGTGGTCCATAAAGTTATATACAAACAAAATTGTGTGGCAAATCGATTCGGTTTCATAATATGATTTCACACGGATATTGATCTACAATTCCGATATATTGGATGAGTGCATAAGTTCGTGCCCGATTCCGCTGGATGCCGTTCGAATCGTTTGAGAGTGGCGCTTGTGAAAGAATAATATACATATTATATATCGTTGGAAAGGTGACAGTCCGTAACTCAAGCATAAAATAACTTCATTTTGATTTGAGTTGCTTAGTGAAAAGACGCATGGAAGATGGACAACGAAAAAGATCATATGCGTCATATTATGTTATACGGATTCCGCAAAGGAAAAACAGTAGGCGCTGCAACTAAAGATATTCGCGAAGTTTATTTGGACCGTGCTCCAGCACTCCGCACAGTAAAGAAATGGTTCGCGAAATTTCGTTCTGGAGATTTTAACCTCGAAGATCAACCTCGCAGTGGACGGCCTTCTAAGCTTGATGACGATTTTCTAAGGACTTTAGTTGCGAATAACTCACGTATTTCGACGGAAGAGGTTGCCAGTGAATTGAACGTCAACAAATCAACTGCGTTTCGTCGTTTAAAAAAGGTTGGGTACACTTTGAAGCTCGATACATGGGTGCCACATCAGTTGAGTGAAAAAAACGAAGTGGACCGTATGTCAACAGCAATTTCTTTGCTTCGACGGATCAAAAACGAACCTTTTTCGGATCGGCTCGTGACTGGTGCTGAATCCTGTACAACAATGTTCAACGCAAACGAACATGGAAACAGGCACACGAAGGGGCGGAACCGATAGAAAGGTGGATTGTATCCGATGAAGGTACTGCTATGCATTTGGTGGGATATCCGAGGCGTGATCTATTTTGAGCTCTTGGCAGCTGTAGAAACGATCACTGCCAACAAGTATTGTCAGCAATTGGTCGAATTGAAGAAAGCAATCGATGAAAAACGTCCGATTTTGGCCAATCGCAAAGGAGTTCTTTTCCATCATGACAACGCCAGGCCACATGTTGCAAAACCGATCGTCGGCAAAACTGAAGGAGATTAATTGGGAAAATATGCCGCATCCCCCATATTCACCCGACATTGCACCTTCTTACTATCATTTGTTTCGATCGCTGCAGAATAATTTGAATGGTAAAAAATTTAAAAATGTGGAAGACGTCAAAAACCACCTTGACACCTTTTTCAACGAGAAACCGCATGATTTCTATGAATCAGGCATCCGTAAATTGGTTGAACGTTGGGAGTGGATTGCCGAACATGATGGCGAATACATAATTGATTAATAAAAGCGCTTTCTTCAAAAAATTTCAATTTTAGTTTGCCCTTGAAATCGGGCACGAACTTATGCAATTATCCAATATAAGCAATTATGTGTCGGTTTCCATAACACCACCGAATATTTTTTATTTTAGACTCCAAAAGGTTTGCTGAGGTCATGGGTATAGGAGAATGTCAATATTATTATTTTCCAAAGGTGTAGGTACCTGGGGATGATGGATTTTAATGAAAAGACTTTGTCCTTGACACTTTGCAAGCGTTGGAAGTTAAATTAAAACAACGCTTCGGTTTGAGGAAGTGTATTTTTATTTTTAATTTAATTTTTCTTTGAACGTCACATTTACTTACTGTACTCGTATATATATAAATATATGTACATATCTTACAATAATAATTTCGTTCTAATTACATTTATAAACTTACTAAAAGCTAAAAGAATTAACATTCTAACACTACAATCTAAGTTCTAAGATCCACTAATAATGCAATATTATTAAACTAAATTGTAATCTTTTGCAGGCAACCTTGAAAAGAACAAGAAACTGGCTTATTTTAAGCTACGGGGCGATACTATTCCAATGCCCAACTCTTCTAATTTGTGAGTTAGTATTTAAATATTTAGATTTCTACTTTCAACCACTGGTCAAACCCATATGCCGAACGGTTTCATCATACGTTGACTTAAGCTGGAACTGCATAGGAAGGCGTATGCGAGCTTAAACGAGTAACGTTCTCTTGCATTTGCAGGCGCGAAACTGAGCAATTTCATTGAATTAGGCAGCTAAGCATCCGTGTGAGAGAAGCAATAACTCTCACGCTCTCGCTCATTGAAAAATCTTTAGCTATATATGTATGTACAAGTACATGAAAATTATTGAAAGCTATGTAAATTAACTCTTCAATTAAGAGCCTTTGGACCGACTAAACTTCACTCCAGGAAGTGATTGAGGGATACGAAAAAATCGTATTTAACACACGGCTCTCTTGAAATTCATTAGATGAGTTACTTTTTGTACAGTAGAATATGTAGAACACACTTTCTTCTAATTCAAGAAACTCTCCATTTCAAATTTTAAGTAACAGAACTGAAAACTGTCCAGTAGTGAGAGCTTTTCTCGAATGGGGCTCTCATATCTTCGGTGAGGCTCAGTTTCATTAAACACAGTAAATGAGACCGCTTCATATATGCTCTCACTCCCTTGGGCACTAATGGTAAAGTCTGCTGTAATCCGTCTGCCAAATATACAGTAATTCCTCCAATAGCTTACGATAAAACATAATGGAAAAATCTTGCCTTTCCCCACCAAGAGTTGCCACATAATAAAAAAGTTTTCTCCAAATCCTGCACCGATACTTGGAAAATATTTCGCAATAGATATGTCTTTTTAAGTTGGTAGAGAGTCTTCGCTACTGCACACCACATCTGTCAAGGCATTGATATTTTTGCTGTGCCAAATGGTAGCTTAGGTAGAAGGTGGCACCAAATTTTTTATAAATTAAATGGTATAAAAATATCTTTCGAATAGATCAGTCCCAAATCCACGTCTCGGAAGCAAAAGGGTTTCACATGCCATTTTAAACAAAGACAGGTCTTTTTTGAAGAGCAGAATTCACCCTCTAAGTTTCATTTCTCGACGATTAGTGGCTTGGTCAGTCATTAAGAACAAAGCATTTTCTACAGGATTAACCTTAAACACGGTCATTTAAAATCTGCTCGCCACAGCAAGTTTTTATCAATTTGAGGTAATTTTCAACCTCTTTGGCACATATTGGGCGGTAACTCAGCCATAACTGGACGAGTGTTGATTTTCAAGTGTTCAAGAGTTAAAGATTTGTTTGCTCAAAAACTTTTGTTCCAAAATTGCTTGTTGTTCACCAATGGATTTAGGGGTAAGTCCAAGTGAAAAATGCGCCTCTATATGCCGTAAAAGTCCGTAAAGTCCCAGCTCTTAAGAACATCAAGAAATAGACATTTTCGGGTCTTTTGTTACATTTTCACTCACATTGACTACATTTGAGGTGAACGAGCAAAACGATAATGCACAGGCCTCATCACAATATCTATAAGCGTTTCAGTCTCTTCCGTTCAGTCAATCGCTGAGTAGTTGAACAATTTTGTGTACCATAGTCTCGGCTTAAAGTACGAAAAGTGGCCTCGTTTCAATCACTCTTTTTGTGGTAGGTTCTAACAATTTAAATGCGTTGTGCGGTTGTTAGGTAGTCCATGCTCATAAATAACTGACTTTTAGCGGAAAGAAAATAGACTCGGTTTGACAGTTGTGTCTAACAGATGTCAAACTACGTCCCGGTGCTTTTAAAGCCGCTTTGTACAAATTTTGTAGCTGACCACGTCGCCACCATTGAAGTCAGCAATATCGTATCCCGCAGCGCCCATTTTGCTTTTAACTTTAGTTTTGATTAATTTTGTGTGAAACCCGTGACTGCCCGCATGGTAGTATGCTGTGCTAACCACCAGGCTAAGACGAACACTTTTGTTAAGCAAAATCTTATTTTAGTAGAAAATTTTTTTAAGTTTGCTCAACTTGTTGTTGCTTTAATTCCATTTCAATAAGCCACTAGTTGTTCTTTTGTAGGTTTGGCGCAAATAATTACCGTTATAAATACTAATATTTATGCTCATTTCATACATATATGACTTAGCTATATGTTTTTAATAAAAATTCTTAACTTTAAAATCATATGCTTGTAGCAAAAAAATATAAAGAATATTTATAAAATAAATATAAATAAATACACTATTTTATCCTCCGCTTAATAATCTCTATAAATTACTTGTTAGTACAAAAACAATTTTACGCGCTCGCTCTCCTTGCAACACTCTCTTAAATTTAGTTTAAGCAACCTAAAGCAGCATTTTGTGATAAGCAGTCGTTGACAGCAACAAAAAGTAAATAAACAAAGGCTTACAATAAGCTAACTGTCAAAACATTATGCACTTAATTGTGTAGGGATTTGTATGTGATTGTTGTTGTTGGTTTTTTGCTTTTTCGCTGTTTGTATTTGCAGAAGACTATAACTGAAAGCCATCAATCAAAGAGGTGAGAAGAGAGCAAATGTACATTAGAAATATCTTTATATATATGTATATATATTTACGTAGAATAGTGTGTGAATTTGCTGTAATACAAATTTAGATTTATACATATGTATATGTGCGCTTCCGCTTTTTGCCTACGCCCCTCATTCGTGTCGCCAATATTGCCAATTTCGAAAATTTCGACAAATGAGTGGCGAGCACAGCAAATTGAGGGCCTTTCATTGCCCATCAGTGGTCAGTACTCGTCACTTATCATCAAACAAATCGGCTTGAACGTCTGTGGCGCTTTTCGAAGGCTGCTGATAATGAGTAGGTAGTAGATACGTGATAACTGAGAGTCCGGCAGACGGGTAGATGCAGAGTTCGTTTTATGCCTTTATTGGCGAGCAAAGGCTGACTTCACTTTCTGCTTTTGCATCATCTTCGCCTTGAAAGGCAAGAGTGCGTTAATTACAGCAGAAATAATTGGCTACTGCTGTTGTTGTTGTTGTTGCTGCTGTTACTGCTGCTGTTGCTGCTTTCTTTGGTTGTAAAAGTTTTGCCTCTTTTTTTTTTGCTGAAGCAGAAGAAACCCCGGTTTGAGCTTCGTGGCAAAAGCGACTTTCAGCTACTTCTTTTCACAGCCACTTTTCACTTTCATCTCTTACTTGCTTTTTTTATTTGATGAAGCTGTTTTTTGTTTGATACTTTTTTGCCTCGGCGGCTATTATTTACGCTTATTATCAGATTTCTTCGCCACACAAATTTATTTATTTGTTTGTTGTCATTACATTTTCACATTTACATGCGCATTTCGCTCTCTCCCAACAGAGAAATAAAATAAGTAAAAAATAATAAAAAAAACACACACACACAAAAGAGTAGCTGGATGAGCCGGGCGTACGTTGTTGGCATTAAGCGACATAATTTATCATTATTTTTTACTTCACTTAGTCAGTCGGCCAAGGGAGATGCGGCGCTGTGTTTAAACTCCATCGAATGTTGCTCATACGCCCCGTCGAGCCTCAATACAAAGCGCTTACTATGCGGTCGCGCTCCCTCTCCCACTGCGCACCCATCCGCGGCTCCGGCTGCTGCTGCTGCCGCCGCTGCTGTACTGCGCCGACTAGCGACTGCGACTGCGACTGCGACTGCTGCGGCTGCTGGTGACTGCTTCTGCAGGTAACTCACAAGCCTGTGGTCGATGTGCGTGCATATGATGTGCGCCTGGGTGGCGGTAAGTCCGATGAGTAATTCTGATATCTTTCCGAGCAGTGTATGGCCTGTAAGAAGTGTAAGCAAGCAAGCAAGAAAAGGAGAAAGAGAGAGAGAGAGAGAGAGAGAAAGAGAGAGAGTGAATATAAATATATTTAAAAATCTTGTTTGGTATGAATAAAATAAACGGCTACATTAAATGCTTTTGTCTGCTGGTATCCAGCAGTTGTTGTTGCCATTTTGTTGCCGTTAACTGCTTACGATTAACGGAATTTGATGTGTAAGCAAACAAATGCCCTTGTGTATATACAATACATGGGTATGTTTGTTGGCATACGCCACTTCCGGCATCGCTATGTGTGATTAATGATGTGTCAAAAGGCGGACAGCCGACACGCACAAACATACAACATGCCAGACATACTCGTACACACAAAGATGCATATTTCTATATAAGGAAAAGGATATATGTATTTATATATTATATATGTATTTATGTATGTATATCTGTGAGGGTATGTAAATAATGGCGTTAATAGCTGTTGCAAATAAAATGTATTTATATTGATATTTACACATATATACAGACAAACATAAATATACATACGCATGCACAAACATTTTCGCGGCGATAAGCGAGACTTTCTGTATTGCAATTAAATAATTGCTTTTGCTAGAGCTGATGGTGGGTTTAAGGATATGCGATGACATTCCAAAGTCAACCGGCGAATTCTTTAAATTTACTGAGCTGGTAAAAAATATGCTGGGAATGCTTAACCTGTTAAAGTGCTACAAAATATAAGTGAAATAAAAATTTATTCATAGAAATAACATAAAAACGTGCTCAAGAGCGGGAATATAAAAGAATGATGAGCATTCAGGCCCTGCCAAAGAGCACCATTTGTGTCTTATCCTTTCTATGTGGTGGCTGGAGGAAATAATATATGAAACTACGTCGCTCTATCGCTATGTTCCAGTCAATGGAGTGGTGGTATTCTTTTTCCGCTGCCTCCACCAACATGGACCGCAGCGATCACTGTATGGAGTGCTTTCATTTGTTGCGACGCCGAGACCACGCCGGAGTGACCGCTGTCTCTATGTTCATATCAAAATCTCGAACATCCCTTCCTTCCATTTTCTGTGATATTCACAGACTTTTTCATCTGCGTCTTGGTTCGCTCTTCAACTCGCTACCCGTACGTTTTGTGGTCGATCACAGCGTTGCGAGGAAGCATCATGTTTTATTTACACTACGTCATGGAACTCTTCATAATGCCAGTCTTTTTAGAACGCGTTAAAAACCAATGGGTACACTTGCCTCTGTACTTAGGGAGCTTGAGATGTCATGCTACAATTACTGTCTACTGAATTACTGATGACTGAGAGGAGGAGTGCAAGTCGAGGTCCATTGAGTTGGGAGTGTTTCGATCCAGTGATATTAACGATTTTGTGGTCCACGACGAATTCAATCGGTATCAATCCAATGTTTCAGCGGTCAAATTTCGTTTCTGACATTGTGGCGGGGCTGCGTTCGAAGGTGTGTTTTAGCTACTCATAGAAAGCATCTCTGGTAATAGGTTGAAAATCTTTTGTTTTGATTCGGATTATGGATAGACGTTCATTTATTCACTCCACAAATAAAATACCAAATTCACACTGCGGCCATATAGCTGTAGTAAGATTTCACGTGGATCTACTGGGGGCGTTCACTTCTTAAATGGCGGTGTTGTCAGCTTTAAGTCTTACGAGGGCTTCAACCAGCAGCTGGATAGCGGCACCTACTCAATAGAAGGTCAGGAAATTCCAGGCGCATGCCCTCAGTTGATGATCTTTAAGATGCTTGAAGGGATCGTCATTGAAAGGGGCTGTTTCCAGCCTATGATTCCTATGATTTTTGTGAGATTTCACGACCACAGTGGTTCATTTGCTCTAAACTGTACGCCGATTTTAAATACAAAGGTTTTGAAATCTAGAAATAGTGTGTTGGAACCCTTCGGATTTATCTTGAGACTAATTGGTTGTCGATGGAGGTTGCTAAAGCGGGAGGTTGCGGTCGGTTGTGGTATTCAGGCATGCAAGAATAAGCATAAATCTTTTTCCAACTTGTGTTCACTTCTCGGCAGATTTTGGTATAAATGTGACATCAATAAAAAGCTCCTGATTAAACTCTATGAGGGCTGCCTTTCATGTTTCAAGATTAGAGAACAAAAACAAATATGAATCATAAAAAATCACTTTAGGAAATTCCAAAATATTCTCCAATTAGATCTACACACCAATTGTCAAAAAACATTTTCCCACTCTGATTACGGTATCTCCATAACATTCGTGCTGAGCGCACCAATCATCTCTTCAAGTGTCGCGACACTTTCGCCTCTCTCTCGGTTAATTTTTTACGTTCGGTTATAAAAATCGGTCATTCGGTGCCAAGTCGGGACTATATGATAGATGACTCAACAAATCTATGTTTTGAGTTTTCAATAATAAAGGCTTTTCAGTTGATGTATGCTCATGTGTTGTCATGATGAAGATCGATCGGTGTTCAGAGGTTGCTTGCTTTTCCTGATCTCTGGAAAGACCACCGGGAAACTGGTAAATGATTATGTATATACTACGCAGAATTTACTGTTCTGCGCTGTTTTAGTTGCACGATTGCGACTAATCCATTTTTTTTGTTTTTTTTTTTAAAGGCGACCGTTTCTTTGGAAGTGCTTCGTGCGCGAACAGCTTTTGTTGGATTCGACTCACCTTAAAGGGTCCATACAGTCGACTGCTGCTTACTTTCGGGCTTCGCGTAAATCTACGCTTCATCAGCTGTCACGATGTCAAAGCCGTGTTTCAAAGCAGCACTACCGTATTTTTTTTTTAATTTCCTCGACCAATCGACACGATCCATAGCGCTCATGTAATAATGAGTGTATCCCTGACTCCACGAATCACTTCTGCCTAGAGCTGTCTCAATCTCACGATAGCTCACATTGCGATCTTGCAATGTTGGTTTGCGCGCAGCTTCAATAGCTTGAGAAACAACAATTGATTACGGACAACCTTTAAGAAATTCGTCTTGGGTGATCTACGACCTCGACTGAGCTCTCCATACCAAGGATAAACAGCGGTTCTTGATGGAGCTTCGTCAGCAAAAATGTATTTTATTTTATCGAGCCACTTTTTTTGAGTTAATTCTGGTCGTAAATTATAAAAATAATCGAGCGAGAATTTTGCGCCGAGATGAGTATTTTAAGTTACTGTAAACAAACAAATAGGGATCGTAAGTCAAAATGGTCTGAGAACATCAAGAAACTTCCAATACTCCACATTCCAATACCAGGGTTTGCAGCCTCCGATAAAAATGTTAACCCTCCTTAAGCTGGCTTTCAATTGTTGAGAAAAAGTCAGGATCTACACCAAGAATTGGAGGAGAAGCGCGGCAGAGAATGGCTTCAGTGCTTGAAAATTTAATTAAAAATTATCCGAAAACATTTCGCACTCCAGTGTGCCAGTATTCGTAAGTCAGATGGTGATTTGCAGCTGTTTTTAGTTTATTCTAATTGATTTATTGCATTTAGTGTTGAATTAATTTATTTGATTTGGCGGCTTCTATTTGGAACAATAAAAATATTGATATTTCCTGATGTTGCAATTTTGCCTTGGCAGGAATAATAATTGCTGAAACAACAACAGCAGCAAAGGCAAAAGCAATGAGAACAGTATACCGTTAAATAGCCGCATAACTAATATTCAAGGCATGATTTCTGAACTGCTCCCATTATAGTCGCCAGCAGCCGTAGAGCGAGGAGGCAAAGTGACGTGGAGTGATTTTGACTGTGTTTGACGCTGCTGCGGACTATGTGTTATAGCCAAGCGTTGTTTTATTAGCGTAAATTAATATAAACAAATGACAGGAATACACATTATTTATAAAAAAACACACAAACAGATATACAAATATTTGCTTTAATTTAATTTGAAAATTAGAAAAATGCATTGTTTTACGCTGAGATAGAAAGTGCATAATATTTTGACATAATAAATTCCTGATTTGATTTTTTTAAAATGAATTTTAGGAAATTTTTTATAATTTTTTTTTTTTAAATTTCCAATTTTTTCTTGCCAGCCGAGTACTTATTTTATGTGTAAAATGCACACGTTTTTATTATAAACAACCGATTCGCATGTGATTTATAGATATTCATGTTTGGATTTAGTTTGCCAAAAATGCGATGCATGGTATATTTATTTATAATTTTGTAAAAATTACTTTTTCTGCATAAAACCTTTGTTATTGTTATTGCTTAGATTTTGAAAAAATACATACGAATTTACAATATGCGCACATACAAACACATACATATACACTAAGTGAATGCAGCGCAGAATTCGTTACTTGCTTATTTTGCTAAAAAAAAATTTATCGATAAAAATACTTTGGATTGCCTGAGAATGGACACGTACATATATACGAACACGTATGTGTGCTGTGTATTTATTTTGAAAATTTCTTGCATACACATTGCTATTATTTATATAAAATGTTCTGTTTTAATGAATTTCATGCTGTAATTAATAACTGATGTCTGTACGTTTAATTGCAAAAAATCCATTCACAATTACTTACATACATACATACATAAATATTTACAGACATACATACATGCAATATGCACAATGATTATTTTTCATAATAAACGCCAATATTATTGCAATAATATATGTGAATCGAAATTATCTCTGCGAAACTTATTCAGCTCTGTAAAGGGAATGTGATCAGAATCGGGAAGTTCCTCGCCGAGAATTTCAATATCGGACTAAGTTTCGGCAGAGGTCATGCCTTATCGTGTGACTTCTCTAATTTATTGAGGGTGAAGATAAGAAGGGCTACATAGCGTTAAACTATATAAAGTGTGATTTCTTAGGTGCTACAGGAAAGTTTTCAAAAAAAAAAAAAAAAAAAAAAAAAAAAAAAACATGAAATTCAGAAAAAGCATGAAATCTTTATTTGAATCGATAGTACGGTCCGTATAATTTAACGTTTGAAGATTATATTCATGCAAATGTTGACCGTGACAGC